TCAAACACAGATTCAATCTCTTGTGTGTGATCTTAGGTGAGGGGATAATTATACTTGCATGACCACATGATTGAGAGGCTTAAGTAAGATTATGATCAGGTGCCTGCCATGGGGTCTTGAACATAGCTGGAACACTCTAAATGTAATTCATTTTCTCCCACACCTTCATTTATTCAACAAATATTTTTAAAGAAGCTAATTTTGTGCCATAGATAATGTACATGTCAGCACTGGCCACATTATTGCTGCGATAATGAACACCACCCCACCCCCTAAGCCCCCTACCTCATCCAAATCTCTGCTGTGTTAAGACACAGCAGAAATGTACTTCTCACATTCATTCAGAGTCTACTACATGTTTTGGTAGCCTTATAGGGCAACTCTCCTCCATATGGCAAATGCTTCATTCTTTTAACAAAACCAACACAAGACGTCAAAAGGGCTCCCTGCAGCAGAAATAGTGCTATCCAGAACTTCTTTTAGTTGAGTCTACTTGGAAGTGACATATATCAACTGCTTGCAACTAGTCCTGTGGTCTCTTTCCGACTATAATGGGAAAAACAAGGAGTCTTTTTTTTCTCTGCCTACAAGGAAGGAAGACCCAGATATTGATGAGCACAAGTAGCGTCTACAACTTGGCTAGATACTGGGTACTTGGTATTAGTAAGGACCAACACAGACATCGTTTATCTTTCCCTCATGGAGCTGTCAATCATTGATGCACTACAGGGAAAGCAATAGCACCAGTGAACAGCTAGGTTTCTGCCCAGACAAGACAAGGAACTAGATCAAAGAGATTGCATTCAATAAGTGTAAAGTTATGTTGGAAAATGAGAAAGGGTAACAGTTTAGTATAAGTGAAAAGTATGGAAAGCTTAGCAATTCTCAATAAATATTTACTGGATGAATGTTAAGTGAGGAATAAGAAGAAATTTAGCTCTGAAAAACTAAATGGGAAAGGCAACAGAGAGAGAACAGATATAGGAAGAAAAAACACATGGAAACAGTTTATGCTTTTCAAATGTTCTGAATAATATTTGGGAATAAAAGCTGTTCTTGCTATGTCTGCTGTTTCTAGTAAGCCTGAAATATTTCCGTGCTGGTCTCTTCTGCCATAGTTGGGCTTTGGAGGAGTAGCTTCTCAGCCAGACTGTTTCTTACCTAGTCAGAAGTGGGAATTGTGGAGATGGTTAGACTCTGACTCATCTTTTAGATCTTTTGTGATGAAGCAAATTTACTTGGTGGGTATCTGTCAAATGTAGAAGGTTACAGGAAATGAGAAATTATACTGCTGTAAATACTAAAATTGTTACAGTGAAGCTAAACACCCATCAATACAAATTTAATCAAATTATTAGGGGAGTGATTCCTTAAGAGCATTAAAATGATTTATATCAAAAATGTAATAAAGAAACCATAGAAAATGGTGACAAGAGATTTATAATGTACTCCCTACAGATGGTTAATATTTGGTAGAGTTCAACCCAGTTTTTTTTCTAGGCACATGCAACTTTGTTTTATAAAAACAGATCATATAATACATGTTACTCTGTCACCTCCCTTTCACATGACAGTTTTTCTTGCATATTTTTCCATTTAAGAAATACATGTCTACATTATTTTTAATGGTTCAGTATTTGATCATATGTATGTGTCAAATATATTTTCTTACCACCCCACTAGGTTGTTTACAGATGGTTGCCATTATCAACAATGCTATTATGAACATACTATAGCAGAATTTCTGTGTACCTTTTTAATTATTTTATATGGTAACTTTAATAATTTGGAATTACTGGGGCAAAATTATGTACATTTAAGATATATTATGTACACTATCAAATTGTCCTTTAAAGTATTGTTCCAATTTACATTCCTACCAGCAATGGATGAGAGGAGATGAGTATTTAGAATCTCATAATTCTACAAGTGTGATTGTAGAGAATTGAGTATATTATAATTGTGTGTTTAATTTTGACAGTGTTGGCTGAAAGGGCCACTCAATTATAAGTCCCGACCCCTCCTATAGTTAATGCTTTATGTTAAGATTATAAGTGAGCATCACATTAGATTTCTTAGAAAGGAAATTAAGACAGATTCACATGTTCTGCTAAATGTATCCATTAATACCCAGGGTCCTGGGGTATGATACATGGCTGACCCATTGGATAGCTAGAATGACTTCTTTGCTTGACAGAACATATTAAACACTGCCATCAAATAGCACCCATTCCTTAATATATGGCTGTGACTAAATATTTGTGCACATCTTTAATGGTTGTCTAAATCTTGGGCGATTTCTCATTTTTCTAGAGAGAAAACCAAGGGAAAAAAAATGGCAAGATTGACTATATATGCTTTGAGGGACACTTGTAATGTGTAATCAATTAAATTTAGATAACTAATACTTCAAAGCACATAGATAGAATATTTTGAAAGGTGTTACTCTATTACCACCCTTATTTCATGAAGTACTTTTGGCCCAAGTTTCCTTCCCATGCATCCTTGACATCAGAAAGGTACCACCTTTTCCAGCAGTTGGGATGTTTCCACCCTTTTCCCCCTAGAATTCACTCTGAATGCTTTGCAATGCAAGACTTGCAAAACAATGTATGTATGTCATCCCTGGAAATCTTTTCCCAGCTCTAGAAACCTACTTCTCACCATGTCCAGTAGTAACTTATGCTTTTTCAGTCATCTTTAAGATACTAGTTTTCAGCAACATCCAACATTTCAAATAGTGCACACTCCTTAAAATCATCACTAAGTTGGTATTAAATTCTCATACTTCCATTTTTTTGCTAGTTCTATCAAGTGAATGGCTGCTAAAACCATCCAAAACTCTTATCAGTTAATATTTTTCAGGTTAATACAACTTCCCTAAATAGTATTTTGGTCAAAATAATGTAATCAAGAAAGTTCTGATATTCTTAGATAGTTTATAAGGACTCTGGTATAAAATGCCTCTTATTTTGAAGAATAATTTGGAGGACGAAAAGAAATCTCACCTTACGTTCGTCCATATATTAAAGTTTAAACAAAAAGAAAGGCGATTCATACAAATCTCTTTGTGCTGTATGCAAAGTGACTATTGAATATGAAAGCTTTTGTTGAACTATAAAAAAAATCTAAAGAATACAGTAGGATTGCAGTGCATTTATCTTATGTAGAAACACTGACATAAAGCCTACTGTTTTGAAAATACTCACACTGAAATATTTTAAGAACTGCAGCTTTTACCCGATTAAACCACCTTCCAACCCCAAACTGTGTGTATTTATAATTTAATACAAAACAAACAAACAAAAAAAAAAACCAACAGGAATTACTTACAATAGATGTTCCTTTAAAGAGCCACAGCTAAAATTTTTGGAACTCAAAATGAAAAATTTAGAAAACTCAGTGGCTAGATTTCCCTATAGTGTTACTCCCTCTTTAATATATATTATATTGTTTCATTCTTTTCAATGAAGTATTTCCAAGAGAATCAGACTAAAAGAACATATTACAGATTAGGTAGCAGCTCTTTGAGTGATATGGTTAAAGATAGCATATGGCGTATTCTTTACTTTCAAACTGTTTTGAGTCTTTGTTCTTGCCCATAGCAGTACTATACATGAGTACTATCCAGATCTTCCCAATGGGACTTGCATGTAATGTGCATCATCTTAAAAAGCAACAAACATTTTTCCATTGCCTTCTTTATTAGTTGAGGTAAATGAAACTGAGAGAGATCGAGCTTAAGATAAATTGTTACAGAACTCTAATTCTATAAGCTCTTATAATTCCATAAGATTATAAATGCCGTTTGAAAATGTGAATCAGAAGATGCATTTGTTTTAATTCTTGATACTGAAAATATTGACTGAATTGTGAATTAACACATTTAGGGTTGCAGATGTCATTTTTCATGAGATTTCCTGAATGATGTAATTTTCATATTTCATATAGCAGTTTGATCAATTTACAGATTTATTTTACATAATTAGTTAGTAAATGAGAAATTCAATTGCTGATATATAACTATTTCTCTGTAATGTAAAAATAAGTTAAAATTCTGAATTATAAATAAAAAGACAAATATTTTGAAGACATCTGGTCCACATCTGTCTGAAATAAGATAATTTAAAACAGTGTAATTAAATGCAAAAAATACTGAAATGTTCACACCTTAGAATGTAAAAAATAACTCATTCCATTTTAATGTGATTTCTTGAATTGGTGATTTATTTTTTTTATTTTACTGTCCTTTAGCCTCTCATTCTGTCATTACAGAAAAGACTGACAAGCTAAACAAACAAAAATAATCTGTGTTTTTTCAAAGCTTCTACTAAATGAAAGAATTATCTTTATTACTATTCTTTTATATGTTGACTAACCTCCACCCCTACGTTAATACTCAGCAGACTTAGACTCAGGCCTACCCCCTTTTGATGTATTTATAATTCTCCATTCAATTATTTAAAATGAGAGATTAGTGAGAGAGTCTGTAATCTCACTCCCTAAATTGTTTGTTCCTTGTGGGCACAAAGAGCCCTGGTAAATGTGAGCGGAAGGTATTCAGACTCATGGAAATGAAAAGCATCTTTGGTACATTCTCATGATCAGGGGAGAATCGTCCTTTGAAGACTGGTGTTTTCTTTTGTTAAAAACCTACGTTAAGTGGAAAATTAGCGATGTTAGGAGAAAGGAAAATGTACGAGACTTTCTATAGCCTTACCAAAAAATGTGAAAAACATGATAGGTTTCCCTTTTACTAACAGACTGCAGAGCCTTCAGACTTCATTAAGACTAGCTTTTGATCCATGGGAGAGAAGTTTTATTCATGAAATCACATAGTGCTGATGCTACAATATAAGACTGTAGGGGAACATCTCTGCCTGGATGCCAGAGGCTCCCCTCCCTAGCGGTGTATCAAGAAAGGGCTCGATACTGTACAAACTCCTTTCCTAACACCTACCCTAAGGTATCACAAGTTATATTTTTGTGCTTATTTCCAGGGAGCATGATAAAGATCCAGAGAGTTTTTTTAAGGTATTAATGCATCTGAAGGACTTAGGACTCAATTTCCATGTGTCTGTCCTTGGAGAAACCTTCACAGATGTCCCAGGTAACACTTTTGAGTTTTCTAATGTGTATTTTTATAGATGACATAAGCTCTACAACTTAAGTATTAACTTCCATGTCTCTCTTTGTTAGAATAATCAAGATGAGCACTGTTAACCAAAAGATTATACGATGGCATTAAAGTGTGATTCAATTAAAAAAAAATACTTAAGTAAGCATGATTTAAGATGAGAACATGAAGTCATCTCTTTTATCAAATATAGTTTATACAATGCATCTTGATGTAAATAAAATATATTGCTCTAGGCATCTTTAACACTTAAGGAAAGTGGAGATTTGTAATTGGATATACAACCTCTCACCTCTGGGGTCACTGGTTTGAATCCTACTCTTATTGGTAATGGCTGAAGTACATTACCATCTGTTAGGTGGCCTGTGTGAAGTATTTCGGTATCAAACTTGTAATGAGAACTAGACCAGAATCCATAGCATAGTGTCATTTATCTGTGCCTTTTTTTAATTGAACTTAAGAAAAAAAGCAAAATTCTAAAGTCGGTCTTCTTTTACTATAGGCCCCATGGAACCTTTTCAGAATCATGTCTTTCACTTTGTGTCCTCATGGGGCATGTTTAGGTTAGTGACCTGAGCATCCTGACCCCTTTCATAGCACATAAGCTTGGGTGTTGCTGCATTTGAAAATTGCAAATATACGGACAACAATATTTTAGAAATGACCTCAGCCATCGTGCATCATGCTCAAGGACCATTTTGGGTTTAATGTCACTTGCTCGGAACTTCTTGGTTCTGGTACACTGCTGGGAACTACTCAGCATGGTCTTCAGCAGCTTCATCTCACCAGTCTCACCTCCTGTCCTCTGTGTTCACAAAGATCAACCTTTTTGCAATTCCTCTAAGGAGCCAGCTTTTATAAGACCCTTGGAAATTTGCTTGTTTGTTTATACTTTATCCCTTAGATCTTAACTCAGGGACATTTTTGCTTTAATATGTAGCTTTGTCATGATCTCAAGACACCCTGTCCTTTTACCTCATAGTGCTTACCTCCATTTATAATTATATAATTATGTGTAATTTTTAGTATCACTTGCACATACACTTTGAACAAGAACTCTTGTTCATCACTGTCCTACAAAGCCTAGTGCCCCACCTGGTGTAGTACAGGGACTCAGTGAATATTTGTTGCGTCACAGGGGTAGTAAGCAAATATAAACTCCCTGCCCTCATATAATTTATAGTTTTCTTGGGAAGGAACACTTGTGCATAAGTGCAGGAGAGAGTAAAACACAAGATAATACAATTATATATTAACACTGACACATGTGGCTTAGAGTAGAATGTTAATTAAAGAGCTAATACTTGAACAGCGAAAGGATTAGAATATTCCAAAAGGGAAACATAGGCAAAGCATATAGAAGCAAACATTTTAGAGATTGTATTTAAATGAGAGAACAACTTCAGTGGGGTTGCTAATATAAATCGAACAAGAGGTTCTGCATGTAAACCTTAATAAATAATTAAATGCACTCTACACAGCTTGAGTGGGATCAACAGATGGAGGGTCTTGATAACCAAAACGTCTTTGGCAGAAGTAAGGAAGAAAGAGCCTAGATCTTGAACTGGTCAAGTAAAAATATTTTGGAAGGTATATCCTACAGTGAGATAGAAGTGGTGGCTGAAAGATTAGTGAAATTAGTGAGAGGACTGGATACGAGAAAGATTCTTAAGGAAAATTCAGATGGCAATTTGGTAGATGAATGACTGGAGAGTAAGAAAAAGAAAAGACTGTTCATTTGCAAAGCTGGTGAGCTCAGTATTGTTTGTGCCAGTTTGGAAGTGTTTGTGGATGAACTGAGAAGAGACTGGAGGAAACTTCTAAGCAGGAGACTTCTTGGTCGGCTTTACTTGGGGTAGCTTTAAGCCACCACTACAAAGCAAACTAGGATTCTACTCAAAGGCCATGTTCACATGGGGAGACCATAGTCTCCCCTCCCATACATTAACATGAAGCTTTTTAAAACAGTGTGGCGCCATGGGCTGGGGTGGGCTGCATTAGGGGCCCCAAGCTCAGTAATTAGAGCCAATCTTATTAGTCACTTAAGCTTCACTTCAACGTGCACTTACTGAACATTGTGGGAGCAAGATTCAATAGTGAACAAAACTCATTCTCCCCCCTTAGGCAGCTCTGCCTTGGGGAGAGACTTACATTATTAAGAGGACACTGAAATGATTAAGCACTGCTGTGGAAGCCTCTAGCAAGGAGCATCATATTATTTACATCCAGACTCCTGTTTCTCCCGTCTCAACTGAGGCTTCTTTCAGCCTTAGTTCTAGTCCATAGCTGTCACTTCTAATGTGTATGAACTCTCACTGTGGCTACACTTCCCCCATGTGTGGAGGGAGCCCAGGTTGTTGAGGTCCATTTGTTTGCTAGCTGTCCATTTGTGCCACAGGTGGCCATTGTGCCCAAGTGGCCTTCTTTATTCCCAAGGCTCCCTAACAGGCTGCTCTGTGTTCATTCTAGCCATTCCTGTCCCATTCTTAGCACTTGCACACCACTGACTATTCCCACGCATTGTTCTCAGAAATTACAAATATTAATTCCTTCACTCTTCTAGTGGCCTTGTTCAGTTTCCTATCTCAACTTTTCTTAGGTGTGCAAAACTAAGGCACAGAGAAATTAGGTGAGATCACCCAGCTAGGTAGTAGCTAGAACCACTACCTTTCCATTTTTCTTGTTTTCTGCCCCAACTGCTTTTCCAGGTTTAAACATTATTCTTTCCCCAACTAACATCCAGCAATCTACAAATAGGAGTAATAAGAAGGTTTACATTTCTTTGCCTGTTGTCCCTTCCAGGTGCTACATTAGCATAGCTGAAGCCCAAGTCATGCAACTTACATACTGCAACTTGTATACTGGCTTATACCAGCTAGCAGAATCACTGTCTGTTAGGAAGGAGATTTCAAGCAAATTATTTTTCTTATTGTGATTGTGATTTTAACTCTCATGCTATTAATTGCTGCTATTTATTGAAAATTTGCTTCATCCTGATCCTTTGCCAGGTAGTTTCATGTGGCGGTCATGATAATCCCAATGGAATAGGAATCATTGCCCCATTTTATAGATAGATAGAGAATCTGAGAGTGAAGACATCAATTGCTTCAATTAGTGTAACTGTAAGTCACAGTTGTCCTTCACATGTAACCCTTGATAGGTTGAGAACTAAGAAAAGTTAACTATATCATCCAATGCTATTTTCCTTCCCTCTCCTTGAGCTCCTTAGGAAACTGTTATCTCTGAGTGATGACATTAGTGCCAATAAGTCTTACTTACATTTTTGAGCAAACAAGTAATCTTCATTAAGTTCCTTTTCAAAATAGAACATGCTATGATCAATCAATTTGTAAAAGGGTCTCCATACTGTTGATTATTTTTTAGTAGGTTGATTATGCTCAAGTTATGTTATGAGGTTTATAGACTTTTTTTCCTGAAAAGTGTGATAGGGTTGATTCAGGTTCTTAACACATTTGTAACATCCTTTAATTTTACCAAAGAGCACAGAGATTTAGGGCATTGACTCACATTCTCCATTCTCCAGTGGGTACAGGGGCCGTAACAATGGTAGGGTAGAACTGGCAGTTGGTCTCCTCATCCCTACTTCTCTATTTGCTCAATAATGTTTTTAACTACTGACTTTGTGCCAAGCGCAGAGCTAGACATTAAAAACAAAATAGTGACAACGCAGGCATGTTCTGTGACATTTGGATTTACCATCAAACTCCAGTACTCTAGTCATCACTTATGAAGGACATTTCTTTAAAATGTTAGAATTAACATTTCCTGAGCACTTGTCATGTGCCAGGTACTGTTCTAAGCCCTTTATGCATTGCCTTACTAACCTTTCACACAGCTCTGTGAATTAGGCACAGTTGTGATTACCATTTTATAGCTGAGAAAAGCAAAGCAGAGAGGTTAAGTCATTTACATGAAGTCAGCCGTCACCCAGGCATGAAGCCCCAGATCAAGCCTTGTCAGTCTGCCAACACTGCCAGTACTCAGCTCCACTCCAGACGGATGTTCATATCAGGTCTACCTGTTTTATAGGTGAGAAAGCAAGAAGTACTCGTGGTGGGAAATTCCTGGCCCTTCCTGTACAATTATTTCCATTTTCTCCAATAATCATCTTGCACATAGAAAGTTTAAAGAAAATTTGGAATCCATGACCTAAACATCTCACCCTATAGGTGTTAGAGTGCACGCCCACTTTTTCTTCCGTGTTTTCATCACCGGAAAGGTTTCAAAAGCAGTATGAAGTGGGAAGGTGTTCCAAATGACATTTGACATATATTTAATGGTCAATAAGCATGATTTTAATGGATGAAAGAATGAGTTTATCATAGTAAAATAATGTAATTTACATACCTTATGAGAAATATAGAAAGAAGCATTGATATGATTTCTAAATACAAAAGAATTAGTCAATGAAAGTTTAAGTTTGCTATACATAACCCAAAGATTTAAGGAGACTCTAGGTGCTTTTATATGATATTCTCTCTTTTAATGTATGTTACTTGATTTATAATAAACCTATTTTTCAGTTATTTGCTTATCTTTCAGCTCATTCAGAAAAGTGGTGTTATGCTTAACAGATGATCTTGGTGGCCTAAAACACATAAGATTTATATCTTACTTGTGTAATGTCTTTACAACTAAGCAGTGGAGTATTCTACTCATTCAGGTCATTGAGGGACTCAAGCTGATAGTGAGACTCAAACAGCCAGCATTTCAAATGCTGTCTATTACCATGCCGGTGGAAGGACTTTCACCGCTCAGCCATAAGTCCAGAGCTCTAGACTAAACGTGGCCTTGAGCTCCACTCATCCTGGTGGCCAGCACTTATTACATGGCACTGCACAGTGGCAAATGGGGCCCAGAAAATGCAGTCCTGCTTTGAGTACAGAATGGGGTAGAGCAGAAATATTTGTTGAGCTGCCCCATGCAGCACCACAGATCTTTCATATGCTTCA